TTTTATTGGTTTTGTCACAAGTACTTGTAAGACCAATTTCCCTAAATTTTGAGGAATCATGTAAAATGGTTTTCATTTTACTGACATAATCCTGACTATTCAAGATAACCACTCCAGAACCTTTATCTGGCTTAGTGATATAAATATCACTCCTAGACTTTTAAGTCTGGAAGTGGACTATATATATATATATATATATATATTAAAAAGAAGAGAAGAGAGCTGCCGCAAACGTTTTTGGTTGTAATGTGGATTTATTTAGAAAAAATATTATGCTTTGTTTTACATAATTTTACTACGACACGTGTTTCTGGTCTCGCGACCGTCTTCAGGTAAAAGTGGAGATTTCTACATATTATTAAAAATAATATTATTAAAAATAATTAATTTTTCTTCATGTTCAATGTGAGATATTCTCGATATGAGACATTCTCTGTTTGTGTGTTGGTAATCCGAATTTCTTTCTAGAATTGTCAATGAAGAGTTCTGCGCGAAGGGTCATAAAACAATTAAGGTTGGTCCAGCGAGTAGTTATCGGCATTTTATCTTTTAATGTTTTAGTGACCCCTATATGCTCTTGGATCTGTTTCTATTTTGGTGTGTTCCTGTCAGCATGCGTGTATATATGCGTGCGTATGTTTCCCCTCCATACATACTGTCTTACTATGAGGAATTCGTAAACTTATTTGTACCTATACGCACATACACACTATCCCACCACAAGTAATCGCGAGACCAGAAACATGTGTCGTAGTAAAATTATGTAAAACAAAGCATAATATTTTTTCTAAATAAATCCACATTACAACCAAAAAACGTTTGCGGCACCACTCTTCTCTTCTTTTTTAATATACATACTTTTTCTCTCGTTGGAACCACTACAACATATTTTTTTTATATATATATATATATATATATATATATAAAATTCTGAGTAAAACAACAAAAGCATTAAGATTTAAAAAAAAAAAAAAAAAAACAACAACTACATTGGCTACAATAATGTAGTTTATAATGCAGTTTAGGTGCTGCTAAATGAGACATTAAGCTGTCATGGCATAGGATATAAAACCAATGAAACTATCAACCAAAACTGCTATGATATAAATAATAGGAAGATGATGAAAAATGTGGAAAAAATGACAAAACCAGTCCCTTATTGGTCTGTCCTATCCAAAAGAAAAAACTGCCAGATTTTACTATTTGCAGATCACCAAATGTAGATTCACTTATCTGCAGTTGGCCCAATCAGCAGGACTTTTTAAAAAACAATTGATTATTATTATTTTTTTGATGACATCACTTTGGGGTTATTTAAAACAGAAACATTTTGAATTGTAAAAACCTTTTTCATTTCTTTGTGTGAGTGAATATTGTATTAACAATAATATGAAAAAAAACAAGGATTTTTCCAGATACAAGTCTTACTATTTAACCCATCATTGGGGAGAGGAGACGAATTCATCCCTTTCCCAAGGATATTTGCATGTAACTGAAAGCAACAAACCTAAATGGAATTCGAATTTGGCTTACCAATTTCTCATTTTGAGGCATTACACCACTTGCACATCCTGACCTTTTAATAAACTAAAATTACTTAGTCAAATATATATATATATATGTGTGTGTGTCTATATATCTATATTTCTGAGATGAGGTATTATGTACACTATTTACAGTATTCGGACTTTTGTCCTCATCTTTGTCGCCATATTACAACATTTCAGCCGTTGTACGTACCAGCTCTCGTCAGAATGTCGAACTGAACCCTTTATTTCAGTTATCACTCCTGTTAATTCCCCTGAAGGGGAATTATAAGGGGATAACTGATAAATGACATCCATTAAACATGGCACGTGGAACTAGAGCAGTCTACCCCAGTGAGCGAAATAAAGTGTTCAGTTCGACATTCCAACCACCTGAAGAAGGCCGGAGCGTAAATGTAAATTGTGTGTGTGTGTGTGTATATATAATACACACACACACACAGAGGGTGATAGAAAAATAACTCCCTATGGACTCTCCTGTCTTGTAAAAATTATAGTTCGATAGGAGAGTCCATCATACATAAATAGGCACAAGGCCACGACTTAGCGAGGAATAAAAAAAAACTTCAGTTGTAAATTTATAGACCGATAGAATCCAACGTTTTTAATAACCTGTCAGGAATAAACATTGTAACACTCAGTCCATAGTTTACTGTAACAAAGGAAGGTAGTTGTTGGGAGAGATATCTGTATCAAACTTCATTTTTTAACTTTTTAGTTGTAAACGTAGCGTAGAATGAAGTGTCGTAACATTCACTCCAGAAAGTTACAAAGAAGAGAGTATCTTAGCAAGTTAGAATGTATTTCTCCCAAAACAAAATAGACTGCTCTGCCATAAAAATAACAAATAATAATAATTAATTAGTTAATTTCGATAATGATCGCAGAGAGCCAAAGCGGAAATTTAAAAAAATATGTAAACATCCAAAATGTTTTTTTTTTTCATATATTCCATCTCATATACTTTGTTCGGGTACTTCCCTAGTATTAATCATTAATAATCACAATTTAGTTTTTACCAAAAACAAAACATCCATACGAAAGCAACAAAAAAGGAGATTATGGGCAAACAAGGGGTCGGCGGTACTTATTTCTGATAATCAGTCATAAAAAAAAACACATTTTGCTTTTACAGAAAAGGAGAAACAGTAGTCAATCTTCATTTTGAACTTAATTACCTACTCCTTACAAAATCTTTTAGACGGACATAGTGACAGTGAGTTTTTTTTTTAGTGTTGTTACTGTTTGATTGATTCGTTTTCTACGGCTTATCAATCCTTTGTAGGGTATTTAAAGCCAGAAAATATTTAAAATTTTTCTTGTAAGATTTTTTTATTTAAGATAATAAACAGTTTAAGTGATACAAAAAAAGTCTTACTAATTGTAATTGACCTATAGCTGGGAGAAGAGGTGGTTTCATGCCTTTCTAAAGGGTTTTTGGGCGTAAGTGAATATAAAGAACCTTTAACGTGAAATGAAATTGAACTCGGCTCTCCGATTAACAATTTTGAGCCATTATCAATTACACCATCCGCTTACAACTGGTATTCCCTGTTCTGTTACTGTTTGATCAGCCTCCTAACCATAATACCTGCCCTGCGCATTGAAATAGGTGTTTTTTTTTTACTCTTAGTGGCTGACAGACAAATAGTTGATTCAGAATGCTAAGAATCTATTTAAAAAAGCAAAACCACTTTAAAATAAATTATCTCACTTAACTGAACTAATTAGTAATAATAATCACAAATTAAATAAAAAAACGAATTTGTAAACGGTGTTCAAAGTTAATCTTTACTGCACTTAACAAAAAAATAATTTTGTTAATTATTCTACCCAAGAGAGAATGCTGCGGGAGAATAATTTATTTTCGTTGCATTGGATTATTAACTAATTTCAAACGTGATGAAAGAGAAATGTCTTAAAAAATAAAATAAAAAATTAGGCCTGTTTTTTATGAGAATTTTAGATTTAGTGGAAGAGTAAAAAAAAAAAAAAGAGTTTTTACTGCTCTACTAAAATTGAGAAAATTCTCCTAAAAACGGATCTAAAATCTAATTAAAAATACATTTTTAATGAAAATATTTTTGGTAGAAATTTTGTCACAAGTAATTGTAATCAGGAGACAACTTGTTGATTCAGATTAAATTATTAATTAATTAAACTCATCTTCCTACTTAAACCTTCACTAAAATAACCATTTATTTACATTTCTACAATAAGGAAATCGTTTTTAATATGTGTATTTTATATCAAAGTTTGAAGTAAATAAAATTGAACTTCAAAATAAAGCAGAAACACACATTCATTCAAAATAATAAAACCACATAAACGACTATTCTTTTAGTTTTAGTGTAAACAAATAAATTAGCTGAATATACACAGGTAGGTGTGAATTATTTCGGTTCAAGAAAAGGAAAATTGACAAGCAGCTTATTTCTTTGTCTAAGGTTTATAAATATATTTTCTATCAAGGTTTCTTGTTTTATGACAAAGTCCGAGCCGACAATTTCTTAAGTGGGAGGCTGTGAAAATATATCAGAATCAATTATTTGCAATTTACCCCCACTATTGTTTCTCCTTTCAACACTCTCTAGCGACTTTTTACACTTTCATTTTTAAAAGAATTTTAGTACACTTACACAATTTTTAACTATTTTGCATTTAATCTTCTTAAATAAGGTTTTTAGACTAGAGAAAATATATTTTGAGTTTTGTTTGACTATTACAAAAGATGATAAATAACAATAATAAACTTTAATTCAAAACATGTTTACCTTTTTTGTAGAATGAGAAAGCTTTTTTTATTATTTTTTTTTAAAATCCTCTTAGTTTTTAACTAACGTTTTTATTGAATTTAAAACTTTTTTAGATTCAATAAAAAAAAAAAAACGTTAGTTAAAAAAACTAAGTGGGAGGATTTTTTTTTAAACTTAAAATTTCCATTTATTGAGAAAAAAAAACTATTCAAAATAGAATAGATAGTCTCTATTACACAGTTTTCTCATTACTAACTACAAGCAAAAAAGATTTATCTCGTAGAAAACCACAATATTCTATTGACAAAATCTTTTTAGTAACGTTTCTTTTTTTCTTCATGGACAAAAAATGATTTTTAAAAAGCCTACACTAGTACACACAGAAAGGAGTTAGAGATCTAAGATCGAACTTTTAAAGTATTAATTAAGGATATTTATTATTTCAACTTTTTCAAGTTGACGAAATATTAATAATAATAATAATAAAAAATAATTTTATGATCATATCATAAGCCAAAAACAAAAAAAAATTATTATTCATTTATTTTCTGATGGTTACAACAGGTTCGATAGTTAGTACGAAATTAATTTTTTCTTCCGTATGTTTATGAATTAAGTGTGTAATTAATAGTATAGAATTTATGAACATCAGTATCATGTCAATATATTAAAAAGACGAGAAAAGGCCAATACAAACCTTGATAGCAGAGAAAAATCAAAATTAAAATTAACAATGACTGAACATGACCCATCCCCATGACGAGCTACAATCCAAAACAAGGGGGTTGACTGAAAGCTATTTTCTATCAATAAGAGCTTCAAACAAGGGAGATAATTCTCATTTCTCCATTGATAATCATTTTCTTTTGATTTTTTTCCGCTGCACAGATTTTCAGAGTAATGTTATTTCCTCTTAATTCAAATATTTATAACAAGAGAATAAAATAAAATAAATCTAAAATAAACTCTCCTTAAATATATATATATATATATTTTTATATATATATATAGTACACATATATATCATACACATGTATTATACACACACACATTATTATTATATATATATATATATATATATATATATATATTATACACACACACACACACACACACACACACACACACACACATATATATATATTACACACATAACATAGGCTGACAAAAGGGGGTGCCACAGTGATCTGAGGAATCAAAGAATACATTAAAGAGGCCAACAATCAGCTAGCCAACAAAGAAACCTATAAAAGCTTACCTACAGATCCTCTTCCCAAATACCAAAAAGAATTAACTAGCTCACTAAACATAATGCTTCACAACAATCTAATCAACAAGGAAACATGCACAACACTTACACCTACAAACATCACACCTGCTCGCTTCTATCTCTTTCCTAAAATACACAAAAGGAACAACCCAGGAAGGCCGGTCATTTTATCATTCAACTGCCACATGATCAAAATTTTCAAATACGTAGACCATTACATACAACCCCTAGATTAGGAAGCAAAATCCTACATCAGAGACACAACAGATCTACTAAACAAAATTAATCGCATACATACAGTTCCAGAGAATGCTATTCTAGTGACTACGGATGTAAGATCACTCTATTTAAACATTAAATACATTGAAGGGCTAACCGCCCTTCACGAAGTACTTACTAAAAGAAGAAAACAAGCGCCCCCCCCAGAAGTTATCATAAAGCTCATGGAGCATATTATATTGAACACTTTCAACTTTAATGGAGCACATTACCTGTAATTAAGAGGCTGTGCCATGGGTACCATTGCAGCTCCATCATATGCTACAAAATTCATGGGAAAATTTGAGGAGACCCATATCTATCCCCTCATCAGTAGCGACTGTGTATTCTATGCAAGATATATTGATGACATATTCTTTGTATGCACGGGCAGTGACAACAAACTTATCCAATTCCTCATGACCCTAAACACAGTGCACAGCTCAATTAAGTTTGATTATGAAGAATCCACAAGATCGGTAACATTTTTAGACACCCACATTTACATAAATAAAAACAGGAAACTACAAATGACACTACATACTAAAATCACCGGCATCCACAAGTGTCTACACTTTAAGTCTTCCCACCCTAAACACCTCAAAGAGAACCTTTCCTATTCACAAGCACTAAGACTCAGAAGGATATGTTCAAACAATGAAGAACTAAATAAACACATTCAAAATCTGAAACATCAATTCACAAAACGTGGCTATAAACAACATCTAATCAAGGAACAAATAAATAAAGCAATTTCCACACCTAGAGAATATACCCTAATGTGCAAGATTAAAAATAAAGCCCAGATGCATCCCTCTAGTAACCACTTTCACCACCCCACTCTGCCTCCACTATCCCAAATAATGAAAAGTCACTGGGAAATACTACATCTCAAACCAGACCTAAAAAAATTGTTTGAGGAACCTGGCCTTCTAGCATATCGTAGACCTAAGAATCTAAAAGAAATTATAGGTAGTAACCACATTTCAGTGGACAAAGTAATTCGTAATAAACCAATAACAAAAACAACAGGATTTTCCCAACCATGTAACAACAAAAGGAGCTTATGCTGCAACCACATTAGACACATAAATTCATTCACTAGCTCAGTCACTAAATCTACTTTCAAAATCTACCACAACTCTAATTGTAGAAGTCATAACATAATTTACCTCCTAGAATGCACACTATGCCAGGAACAATATGTAGGAATATCTGAATGGCCCTTTCACTACAGAATTAATAATTATCGCAATCGAATTAAGTCGACTCCCCATGAAAGATTATTACCTGTAGAACAACATTTCTGCCTAGAAAAACATGATTTTAAAACCCATGCCAAATTCATTATAATTGAGAAAATAGAAAAGTTTAGAGCAGATAACATTAGAAAGATTTTAGAGTTCCATGAAAATGAGTGGATAAAACATTTAAAAATGCACTATCCAGAGGGGCTCAATCACAAATTTAACAATATAGATATTATTTATATATAACCCCACAAACCAGGACCTACCCACATTTCTCACCCACACAAGACAGACATGCTTATGAAGGTGTTGAGGCTTCACACTTATACACACACCCACATGAATATACACACTTACACACATCATACTCATTCACTCCCTAATGAGCAAAATGATAACACACATCCATAATAATATACACACTTACACACATCATACTCACTCACTCCCTAAGAACCAAATAACACACACACACTTAACAGACACATCCCCTTTCCAGGAAACAATAAAACTGTCAAAATGACCAAGGGAATTTAGAGCAGCATGAATCCATCCAACTCTTATCTTAACAACTTAAAAGAGACTGTTTTACCAACACAAGGACTGACCAAAATTCATATTAAAAAAATAAAGAAAAAATAAAAAACAAACGAAAACTACAGACAAAAGTTCATTTTCTCCATCAAGACATTCATTTCTGTAGTTCACTGCTACCAGCAAGCAGAAAATTATTTTTCTCCTTATGATGGCCATGTTGGCTGAAACTAGTCAAGGAATTTAAATGAAATAATAATAAAAATGAAAGAATATTAATATACAACCCAGTGTGTCTGAAGATTTTAATTTTTTAATATTGTTTATTGTTCAAAATATTATACACATATATATATCATACACATATACATATATTGCACACACACATATATATATATTATACACACATATACATATTATACATATATACAATATATATAATATATAGAAATTGCTTGAGGCAATCAGATGTCTGGCCACAATGATGAGCTGTGATACAACAAAACAGTCTGTCTATGGATCACACACACACACACACATATATATATATATATATATATATATATATATATATATATATCTGATAGGATAAGGAACAAATAGGGAATGTTTATAACTCTAACATGTTTCACTTTTATTAAATCTTCACCAGAAATGAAATATAGAGAAGAAAAAGAAAAATTATTCTATTTTTAATTTTTGTGTTGTTTGTTTTTCATTGGTTAAGCAGACCCCAAGTGATTCTGTTTTGTCAAGCAGGATTTTTGTGCATAATTCATGTGTGTATAAGAATTTTAGTTTGTCTTTGTGAGATTAGGATTATAATGTGTAGGTGTGTGTGTGTATGAGCATCTAGTAGGTATTTTTATCTATATTTGGTGGTTGTCTGCATATTCATTTGAATATGTTTTGTGTGAAGGTTACTGATTGTGGTAACAGGTAGACATATTCTAGATTATTTAAGTACGAATTTTATAAAAGTTGGTGATATAATAAAGTATGTTTGGCATGTGTTTATAGACAGTAAAATATTTATCAGAACTCCCTTCAAGTTTTTCCTTTGGAAAGAATTATGTTCTTTTCTAATCAGGGGGGCATCTAGTTTCTTTTATGTTCATAGATATGGGCTTTTAGTTTCCTATATGTATCTTTTCCTACATTGCAAACCATTTTACGTCATAAATCCCAGAATCTGATCTATTTTTCTTCCTAATTATATTTCCGATTGACTTGGAAGTGGTGGTAAACATCCTAGTGTAGGGGATAAATAATTTATTTTCAAATTGTGTTGATAGAATGTTTGGCAGATAGGATTATGGATTTTGTATTTTTGCTGTCAGAAGTGTCTATGTTGCCAGTGGGGGTGCTACCTTTGCTGGACTTGTTTACTTTCTATGCCCATTTTCTATCATTGATGATGAAATGATGTGGGTATTGAAGAAGACATTTTTTTAATGTATTTCTCTTCTTCATCTAATTATTCTGGGTTATATATTCAAAGGGCTCTGAGGTAAAAACCTAGGATAAGTCTTGATTTTATTTTTTTGCTATGCTGGGAATAGAAATTGATTGAATCATTTTTGTTTGTGGGTTTGCCGTAAACTTTAAAATCTAATTTGTTATTGTTACATATTAATAAGATATCAGATAAAAGTAGATTTGTCTATTTCCTGTTCATATGTGAATTTGATGGTAGGCTCTATGTTATTAAGTTTCTGTATAATGTTTAATAGATAGGATATATTAGAAGAACGTCATCTATTGTTATAACTCATTCTTAGCGATTATAACATTATGTCTTGCTTAGGCTAATCGCCATGACATCATCAATTCTTTTTTCTTGACTGACTTCAACCAACTTCTCCTGACTCATTTTGAGTTCTTTATTTAAGACATCTTGCCTGGATCATTTGTGTTACCATAGGTGTCTTATTTACTCCATGACATCCTCTATTTTGAGATATTTTTTTTTCACTAGTAAATATTTCATTTTATTTCTTAATATTCACCCCCTCCTCTTTTTAGTGAGTTTACCACATACTGAACTTAGTATTTCTTTCATTCTGGGTCAACCTCTAGTTTTTCTATACGTTTCCTTTTTCTGGCAATCATAAATAAATTTTTGGGGTGTTGGTACATCAAAAATATCATACAGCATTTGCATAGATTCTTCCTTTCTTGCAAGCCTTTCTTCAGTAAACCATTTCTTTAACTGATTCCAATGCCTTTGGTTTTTCCATTTTTTTCCTTTTACCATAGATATCATTTGTCATTTTTCTAATTTGTGAACTTATTACACTGTCTTGCCACATTTCTTTTCCATTTTTATATACTCTGAAAAACACTTCTTCTTTTTTAAAATTTCGTGTCCTTTTTTTTCTTATTCTTTTTTGACTTGGTAACAACTTGTCGAAGAGCAATCTAATTTTTCTTGTGAACATCAATT